TGGTTTGTGAGTTCAAATGACCCTAAGACACAGAATTGTGTATCTTCGTACTAACGGCTTACATTTTTATCTTTTATTCAAAACAGTGTTATCTGCCAAGTCAACCAACTAAGCTTTCAGGATCCCGAAAATACAATCACCAGAGAAAGGTCAAATCAACATTATCAACCACTAACTATACAGTACTATACTGCAGATAGTCTATGTATTTTGTTTCTTACAACTTTGTACAGTATTGTTGGCTGGGGGATAAAGCTCCAAATAAGAATACCCCTGTTCATGAATAGTTAAAGAGTGGCTTTAAACATGTAAACATAGAAAGCCTGCCTATCTTGGTTCCCGTCTTTTTACTGCAGTAGCTACAACAAAAACTATCTCTTAAAATACTTCCACAGCTTTTTTGTTCCTAACACACAATTTATAGTTTAGCTTCCTAATAGGAAGAGATCTATTTTTAAAAACAGGTGTTTTCGGCTATGCTATACATGCCATCTGTAACTCTAATGCAGAATTACATCAACCATACACATTTCCAATAAGGGTTTTCAGTAGTTTATTAACCTATTTGTTGAATTTAATGGAAGTTACTGGCAGTCCTTTTGGAGTTAAGAAAATGAGACTTATGTACAAGTCTCATAAAATGAACGCCAGCATTTAGGTTGTAATCAATGTAACATTTAATATAAAATTATCCAAATCACATTTTTAAAAAACTTCTGGAAATATCACTTTTAAGAGCAAAAACACATTTGTTGAATTTTCCTGCTTTTCTAATGCAACCTACTAAGTACACTCTAGCTATAATTGGTGGAATGTGGTCACTTCAACTAGTAACATTTTAACCATAGCATGACACTTCGTGCTGGACCTAGTCAACTTCAAAACATATAACGAATATAAAACAGGCAATAAAGCACATGTTCTACCTGCAAATTAAAAATTTATTTTCAACAGAGCTGCTTCATAGGTACTGGATACATCTTAAGAGCTAGAAACACTATTCTGGGCTAATATACTCTTACATAGAAAATTAGTATTATACATTTAGTATAGGTGAAAATACTCGGTTTGGAGCACTGGGAAGACCTTCCCTTATACAGAAAAAAAACTCCCATGATTCCTAAGCAATTACAAGTTGCATACTTGTGACCACAAGGTTATTTCCGGGTCAGTAAAGTGCTGCCACATGAATTTCCCTTCGCAGGGTTATCGTCACGGCCAAGCATCTGAGATCCGCGTGATTCTCAGATGGCGCTCTAAGTGCAGCCTCAGCCCCGGGGCCGCCGTAGAGGCCGAGGAGGCGCCCCAGGCCCGGGTAGTCAGGCCCGGGTAGCCGGGCTCTGGGGCCGCCCTCCCGGGGGCAGCGCGCCAGTCACGTGGGCGGCGTGCGGCCGCCATCTTGCAGGGCGAGGGAGGGAGGAGCCCCGAACCAGCCCAAGAAGTCTGTGGGCCCAGGCGACTCCGCGCCGCCGGGAACCTGGGGCCGGCCGCCGCTCGCCCACCCCAGCGACGCGCGTACACCGGGTTCCTCCCCGCCAACTCCGCGGTGGACCCTTTGTCCCCTGGTGCGCACTGGCAGCGCAAGGTCGACAGCTCGACAAACTGTGCTGCAGTGAGTGAGGATTTAAATCAGCCCAGCCGCACCGGCAGGCTACCGAGTGACAGCCTGGGAGCAACAAGATCCGCTAAAACGTCTTCAAGACCACAACAAGCCACAGCCAGACGATTCGGGAAGCCAGTCTAGTAAGCAGAAAATGCCAGTCGTAACAATCTAATGAGACATTAATGATGTTTTTTAAGGCAACCCTAAACTACTGAAGAAAAAAAGTTCAGCACACCACCAAAAGCCTAGAATCAAACAGCCTTCAGTGTCACCTGTAGTACACGTTCCCCCTATAACTGATTCCCCTACTCCAGCTGATGGCCACCGTACAGAGCACTTCTGAGAAGTAATGATGCGCTGAAACTAATAGCAGGATGCCTAACGTGCTTGGTTCACTCCTCCCAGCACTCACTGGTTGCCAGAAAAGGCCACGCACTGCAATCAAGATAAAAATCTCATTACTCTGGTTTGTACCACCTCTCCCCTTAGTCTACTTGTTCTACATTACTCACATTAAAAGCAAAAATTTAAAGAAAGGAAAAGGAAAAGAAGACTCCTAAAAGTTAAAAATCCAAAATCAGTTTTGAACCTCTGTTGGAAAGGAATAAAAGGAATACTAGCTGTTTCATTGGGGGGCACTTTCATTAGACCTACAATTCAACACTGTAAAGATACACTGTGACCAGAAAAATGTTAAAATATTTAAGCATTGTTCCATAATTCATTCTTTCACCTCTGCATTTAATGGCTTTGTAATATACCTTTTCATATATACATATATATACGTATGTGAGAAGGATGTATGAGTTTTTACCATCATTACATATACTACTTGTAGTAAGCATACAATGAGAGATTATAAAATTTCACTGAGCACGAAAAAACTGGGTAATAGCATTACATCTGAATTTGATAAAATTTATTCTAAAACACCCATTAATCACTTCACAAGCCTCACAGTAAAAATGAGGGGTTCAGCCTATCTCTAAAGACCTTTCCAGGCCCCAGAGGCCTTGAATCTGTGGGAAGTGAGTCCACACAGCCATCCGCAAAACACAAAGCCTAATTTCAGTTCTAGGATATTTAATAACAGAGGAAAGTATGCTAAATTAACTTTCGGGTGGGGAGGGAGTAGTAATGCGTGCCCGTTTTTCCACTATGGCATCCTGGAGACCACTGAAGTTGAAAGCATGACATCCAAATCAATACCTTTCAAAAGGCTGTAAATCCACAAAAACAACTTTACATACAGTTTTTACTATAACTGAAAAAAATACTCCCCTCTTCATTTTTTCACTCAAGGGCTTTACTGGGCCTACATGATTATATTGCTTTCATAGCTCAATGAAAAGTAATTTTTAATATTTGTGAAAGTGCCTCGCCTCCATTCTTATCTACTACATCCTGGTGTTTTAAGTCATTCTTTTAGACAACATTAATGCCTCTAATAAATGCAACAGATATCCCCAGACCCAAGTCAGTAAGTATGAATCAAGTGCATTACAAAGTTCGTTATGCCAGGGGTAAAGGTCATAACCAGCCGGTCCTAAGAGAGGTTTCTTTACCCAGATGCCTGCGTTTCTACTTATCTCGGTCAATTCCCAGATCTCCCCATAAGGTTTTTTCTGGGAATACTGTAGTAAGTTCTGAGTAGGAGCAACACCCATCCGACCCTTTTAAACTCTGCCACTGAAAAAAGGAGTCCCTTTTAGGCGGAAGGCACAGACAGCAGGCCAGGGCGCAGCTATCCAGCACCTCCTGAAGGGTGAGGGACACTCAAAAGAAAGGGAAGGCAGGCACTGCCCAAGGCTAGACTGCGGTAAACCTCCAGGCTCTTCCAGTGCTCCGCTTTTCCCAGCCCCTAGTGCTGAAAGCAACGCTCAAGGCCAAAAATGTCCTGAGACCCTCATCAGGTCCAGGGCCCGGGCGGGAGCTCCGCGTGTGCCGTGGCAACTCAGGCACAGGGACTTCTAGAGCCTTCTGTGATGGCGGGTGGCCGTGTGCACGGGGTGGGGGAGTGGGAAGAGTGCCACTCAACGCAGAGGCGCTCTCACGGGCTGCGAGCCGCGGCGAGGGAACCCCGGCCACCTGCGCGGCCGGGGCGAGGTCAGGGGGCGTCCGGGGAGGCCGCTGGGGCGGTGGCCGCGACGCGAGTGCCGGGGCGCCGTACCTGGGCCCTGGAGCCGGGAAAGTTGCAGGGCTCCACCTTGGCGTCCTCGGGGCCTCCGCGCAGCGCGGCGCGCAGCCTCTCCAGGTGCTCCCTCAGGGTGACCCGCTGGTGGAAGGAGAACGCCGGGTGCAGCGAAGCCATGGTGAAGAGCAGCAGCAGTTCCTCCTGGGCCCTGGAGCCGAGCCCGCCTCCAGCCCCGGGCTCGGCGCCACCGCCGCTGCCTTCCGCGCCAGAGCCGTCCTTCTCGGCGTCCTGGTCGCCGTGGCCGTCCGCCTCGTCCTCCGCGCCGCCCCTCGAGCCCTCGCCCCGGGCCGCGCATAGGCTCTTGAGCACCGAGTCCACCTGGGGCAAAAGGCGGTGCAGGCGGCCAGCGGCCTCCCGGTTCTCTGAGCCCAGCAGCGCCAGGTAGACGATGAGGCGCGAGCGCACGGCGGGCTCTCGGAAGTCGGCCAACGGCCCCGAGTCCGAGAGACCGTTGGCCTTGGCCTCCGACTCGCGCAGGTAGTGGTAGTCCTTGCGCGCCAGGTCCTCCAGACACGAGCCGAGGAAACGCAGCTCCAGCGGGTTGCACAGGTCCAGCAGTCCGCACATGAACTCTAGGCGCTGCGCCGAGCCCAGCACCAGCCCGAACCACTCGTACACTCGCTCCTGCTCGCGAAGCGCCGCCGCGGGTCCCCCGCCGCCGCCCGGCATGCTCGCCCCCACCGCCGCCCCGCCAGCAACAGGCGGCCCCAGCCCTCGGAGCGGCGGCGGCGGAGGGCCCCGCGGAGGGCCCGCGGGAGGCGGAGGCGGCGGCGGTCGGCAGTCCCGGCGGCGGCGCGGCAGAGCCTTCGCGCCCAGTCGCGCGTCAGACTCGGGCTCCCCCGCCTCGGGCGGCGGCTCGGCAGGGTGCGTCGGCTTCAGCGGCAGCTTCATCCTCAGCATCCTCAGCTAGGGCGGCGCGGACATTCGAGCGGGGGCGGGTGGGGCGGGGGCCGAGGCGGCGGCGCGGCCGTCAGGAGCTGGGCCCCTCCATGCCGCCGGGGGAGGGCCGGGGGTGGGTCTCGGGCGGCAAGAGGGGGGCGGCCGGCCGGCAGGGCGGCTCGCTCGCGTCGTCTTCCCGGCGGGAGGTGGGGCGTGCCCGCGGCGGCTCCTCCCCCTGGGCTCCGCGCCGGATCTGGAATGGGGGTGCGGGTGGGAGCAAGCGAGTAAGCGTGTCCTCCTTCCACCTCCCTCTGGGTCGTCCGCACTAGGCTGGGGCGGCAGCGCCGGAGCGATTCCTTCACGAGCGGGCGCGGACCGGTAGGCTCAGGGAGGAGGAGTGGCTGGGCCCGGGGAGGGGGCGCCTGCGGGCTCCTCGCACCGAGCCTCAGCCAATCAGCGCTCCGGAAGGACGGTTACGTAGATCTCCCCGCCCCACGTGCCGCTTTTCTCCGAGAAGCCACGCCCAACCGCCGCCTGGCCGCCTTGCTCTGACGGCTTCCACGGGGCCCTAGAATCCGGTAGTTTCCCGCGGCAAGTGGACGAGGGGTGGGGCCGTGAGGCGGTGGCGAGGTAAGCCTGCGAGTCTTACGCGAGAGGAGGGAAGTGGGCGATTTCACTTTCCTGATGACTCTGACCCCCGCCTTGACTGCTGACTGACTCCCTTCTACTCTGCCCTCTCCGGTCGGCCGCCGCCCCACTTCCGTCCGCGATGCCCGGACTCCGCCGAGTGGGCGCGCAGACCCCAAGAGGAGCCCTTTCAAATCTCCCCCGCAGGGTGGACTTTGTGAAAGTCAGCAGCTTTACAAGAATCAGGCGTGTTGACTCACTGTCGCAGATCAGGGAACTGGATAAGGACGCAGAGTTGTGGCGGTGGTTTGGGGGCCCAGACGCCTGCGTTCCGGCCAAGCGCCCACGCAAAGGCTGCTGCGGGGTTCTCAAGTGGGGACCGACCACCGACGAGGGGGGACGTGCTGGAGGGACCCCCTGGGCTAAGCGTTGCTTCTGATCGGCAAGGCTCTTCGAACGTCGTTTCCACGACAATTTGGGGAAAAGACCCCACCCCCCACCTCTCAAATCTCCCTGTTTTGGGAGTCATTTATTTGCTAGATAAGGTTTCAGTACATAACATGAACATTTTTGCTCTTTTTTGGTGTGAATTTCCTGTGACTCAAAGAATTTAATACGCTACCCCCATGACAGTCTTTCAACTTATTTTAAAAGTTTTGCTACATTTTGAAGATGTAAAGACCTCCAAAATATCTCTCTCAAAAGGTTGCCCTTTCAGTCCAAAGTCTTAAAGTCCAGCTGGACATTTCTCGGGGTGATTTAAAAGTTGGGTTAAAAAAAATCCTTAAATGTTTTACATTTCGAAATCCTGCTACAGTCTCTCAGTAGAAGTATGGAGGACAAAAATTACACTGTAACTCCTTCCCAAAGTTTTTGGACTTGTGTTGGGAGAACATATGCCGAATCCTCTTTTTTTGGGGGGGTGTACCTGGGATCAAACTCGGGGACTTGCACCCACGACGCAGACGGTAGAACCACTGAGCTAAATCCCCAGCCCTGCTCAATCCTCTTATCTCACAACTTTATGTCCAGGAAGCTTCCGTACCAGGTTGAATTGAAGCCTAAATCAGCTTTAGTGATAAAACAGGGATATAGAGACTTGTTTTCAATACTTAAGGTTGGGAAAGTATATCAAAGCTATTCTGTCATCTAACTTACTATTTCCTTATATTCTTTGGGTATATACAATCCGGTGAAAATTTTGAGGATTTTTACTAAATCATTGATTCTCACTCCATTTTGTTGTCTTTGCCTGAATTTTCTCCAAATGCCACATTTCCAAAGCAATATTTTAGGCAACCAATAATAATGCTAATCTTGCTAGATATGCACAGGTTCATAGCAAGTCACCTATCTAGATCTGAATGTTTTGTGTAGCAAGCACATGCTTTACTCCAGGTCGATTTTTACATGTGATCCATGCAAAGGGTCCTTACATTTTCCTAGACAACAAGAAGCTATTTGGTATAAACTCTCCACAACACTTGACGCATAAGATTTACATCAGAATTCAAATTTGAAATCAATGTTAACTTCTTATAGCTTTGGCCAACAGAAAATGCAGTGATAAAAACTTCTAAACATAAATGACATATACTATGATTTAACAATTCAGATTGTCATCCATCAGTTTGACAATTTGCTATTTATCTCTTCAAAGTATTGTTTCAGGGTCCTCTCTCCATATTGCAACTGGCTAGATCAGACCTTAATGTTTTTTCTGCCCTGTCATAAATGAAAAATAGAACACATCAGTAAGTGTGAGTTATTACTGCCTCACTTGTAAAGGAAAGCCAAGAGCTGGGTATGGTGGTATACATCTATAATCCCAACACTGAAGGAGGCCAAGGCAGAGGAATCTCAAGTTTGAGCCCATCCTGGGTAGCCTAGTGACTTAATGAGACCTTGTTTCAAAATTTATTTTAAAAAGGCCTGACGGGCCAGGAATTTAGCTCAGTGGTTTCACCGCCTGCTGTGCAAGCACAAGGACCTGAGTTCGATCTCCGGTACCAAAAAAAAAAAAAAAAAGGCCTGAGCTATAGCTCAGTGTGAAGGCCCTGGGTTCAATTCCCAGTACAGAAAAAACAAAACAACTCAGATGGAAATCCCAGGGTGAGATGACAGTGTGTAGTTGAAGCAGCCTACCCTGATGATTCAAATAAGTTATTCTCCCATCTGGCCTACCCTGTTGAGAATGTCTATTGTAGATTCTCACATTTCTTTATATGTTCCCTGTACAATCAAATCAAATGGACTAGATAGTCATGATGAGCATGTAGTTTGTATCCAAATCTTTCATAGAGGGATATATCTCATTTTAAAAAAATATGTTTAAGGATACAGAGTGCTATTGTTTCCTGTCCTTAAATGATACTTAATGAACTCTCAGTATACTGTTTTATTTGGCTCTTTAACTATGAAAGAGGATATTATTATTGTTACCATCCAAATATTTGTTTCTATGTAACCAGAAAACCAGTTTCAAGTTAAGGTTGTACTTTAAGACACTAGCCAGGGATTGAAGAGACTTTGTAAACCACACACACACACACACACACCCATTTTTGTCACTGAGTTACTGCAAGAAATTTCACCAACGTCCCAGATAATTGGGTGCTTCAGGGAAGACATATAATTAACAATATCCACTGTATAAAAGGGATGCCTAGATTGTCCACTCTTACGTTAGATGATGTTCTGAAGCACCCAGTCTAATCTATCCTAAGAATTTGTTCTGTCAGTCTCTGTGAATGTTGAACCAGTCTCTCTGTCATTACAACTCCTTGTCCCCTCAATTGGAAATGTCTTAATGTCAATGACAATGTCTTATTCAGTTTTATGGTTTCCTATCTGGGACGTAGTAGATGTTCATAAATGTTTGTTGAGTAAATAGGTGAATAAACAGTGGAACGAGAAGTAAAGATCAGAAGCTCCTGGGGCGGTTTGAGTCCTTGTTCCTGTCCAGCAAAGAACATTTGTCCTAGCATTTTAAAACTCACCCTGAGCTTCACTACAGCTCACTTGGCTGAGGTTGTATTGCCCATTCCTGATCAATCTCTGGGTCCAGAGAAGTGGAGTCAGCTTCAGAACCATATGGATTCCCAAATGAAAGTCAAAGTTGTTGGAAAGGAGGAAAGAAAACATGGATGCTGGGGAAGTAACCACCATATGGCCATTATCGTACTTTAGTCTGTGGCTTTGATCATTTAGACAGTCATGGATATAAGAGCCTTCAAAAATTATATTTTTGTTGAGTTAGATTACAGACAGAATTTTAAAAGATGTTAAATATTACTTTTAAAGATTGCACTTGGAAGTTGATCTAAACATCTTGAGACCAACACAAGTAAATTATTTAATTTAAGGGAAATTCTATATATTAAAATTTAAGAAGATAAGTTCTTGTAAGAGTTTAGAGAAAAAACTTTGCAAGGATTGAGATACAGTAAAAAGAAATTATGGTCTTGTCACTATGACAGTTTTCCCATTGGTAACCTGGAACTCTGTGTCCAACACAGTTAGGTATGGCATCTCTTCTGGAAAGACTGGTCTTGGGTTGAATTCAGAGTCTCCTTGGAGTTTTTATTCCATTTGTCAGAAAGATTCGTAAGGATTAGACTGACCAGGCTGCTCAAATTGTCACATTTGTACATTGAAATTTTTGGAGAAACTGAAATACACCAATCTTTCGAGACTGTCTAGAAATAAATCTGACTCTAAGTGGTTTGGTTTGGAAAATCCTTAGTCCCGTAGCATGTGTTTGAAATAAATATTCTGGATGATGCAGGGCACTTACCAAGACAGAGGTCTTTAAGACCCTTGGTTGTGTGGGGACTTTGCATATAGATCTTTTACCTAGTTGTTCAAAAAGGTAAGGTTGTCGCCCAGAGAAGACAACAGTGACTTCTCGGAACTTGTGAAAAAGAATTGAAATTGAAAAAGAATTGTAGAATTGAAAGTTAGAAAAAATGTTCTCTGGAATGGAATTTATGTGCCCCTTAAAATACAGCTACATCAAATTATTGGTGAGCTGCTAATTGTCCACCCAATTTGAATTCATCATCTCATTATTGTTTCGCTTTCATAAAACATTCCTAAATTTTTTTTCAAGTATCCAGCCTTCTGCCAAAGATCCTATGTGACTTGGGGGATACCTTTTCCAGCAATACCGGTAGAGCTTGATTAATAATAATAATAAGTATCAATAAGGTAGTATTATTGAATTTTTAAAAAAATCCAAATCCATAAAGAGTCTAAAAGAAAAAAAAAAACAAATGGATGGGGGATAGTTCTGGAAAAGCTGGAAAGTATCATTTTGTAACTATTGGTTCAGACACTTTTACCACTGAATGTAAAATTTTTGGGAAATGCAGTATTTACATGGTGGTTTTGTTTGTTTGTTGTGTGTGTATATGTGTGTACTAAAGACTGAATGCAGAACCTTCACACTGTGCTACATTCCCATCCTTTTAGAAGGGTTTGTTTTGCTTTAATTTTGGGACAGGGTCTCACTAGGTTGCCCAGGCAAGTTGGACTTGAGCTTGTGATCCTCCTGCCTCAGCCTCCCAGACTGCTAGAATTACAGGTATGTACCACGAGGCCCATCTAATATTCATGTTCTTAAAGTAGCATCTCAGTTAATATAAAAAGGAGAAAAGGTACTTCTACATGATTAAATCTAATGGATGCTACCTAAACCAGGTTGCTACAATTAGTGGCACCAATAATGAGACAGTCCATAGTGTGTTCTTCCCAAGCCATGGATGTCATTGGAGATACAATTTGTATTATTCTTCCCAAAATATTTAAATTGAATCTAATCATGAGGAAATAAGACAAATCTAGACTGTGGAATATTAAATGAGATCACTGACCTGAATTTTCAAAAATGTCAATGTCATAAAAACAAATATAGATTAATGGCCTAGATTAATGAAAAGAGACATGACAACTAAGTACAGTTCACAATCTGTTTGGATTCTGGATTTTAAAACAAAAAGATA